GAAGCCCTATGTTCTACTAGGAACCCAAGGAAATATTAATATTATCATGCTAGTGCACTGAGTAGAAATTTATTTGTGAAGAAACGCAAAGGATCTAGAAAACTTACGATATTGGATCACCTGCTGAACATATAGACGAATGAGAGAAGAAAGTATTACGAAACCAAAGTAACTGCCCTTGGGATGGCTCATATCACATCGAGGAGTAAACGGCACTAGTAATATTTATAAAGTTCTTATTTGTTGATGGCTATATTTTATAGTGACGAGCAAATGGAAATGATGCTTGAAACGCCGGACTGACCGCTTCAACAATATACTGTTTAGCTGGCCCATAACGCTACACGATCCATTATTCTTAATCACACTGCTCCATGATCACTTCATACTGATTCATCTAAAGAAGAAGAACTCTGAAATGAACATTCAATTCAAACAAAAAGAGTTCTCATCATCTCACTGGCCCAACGTATTAAAAGAATTTGCAGCACTGTCTACTTAAAAGAAGAGCTCTTATTTCACAAAAGTGTCCTGACTCAAAATTGATACCCAGAACATTTCGTGGAGAAGAACATAAAACCAAGGCGAAAAAGAGGAGAATGCACTTCAATACCAAAAAGAACACTGTATTTGCATCTGGACTTCAGGGGAAACTAAGCTACAGATATCCTTAAAAAAAGAAACTCTAGTTCCCTGAAGAAGACCTACCCTGCAGCAACTCTAACAGTGACATTCTCTAGTCATTCACTTTTTCTAAGCAGTGTGAAGGAGAAACTTCCGCATACGGCCACTGCAATGTGCATATATCAGTTCATCTGCTCGTGTGGAACGAGGTACATAGGTCATTCCATGCACGACCTTTCAAAACGTGTTAGAGAACATTACCCAGCATGGCTAAAACGAGAAGGCACTAGTTAAATCAGAAGCGGTATAATTGAACACCTGTCACAGCATCTCAATTAACTTATCATTCAGAGTTTTTTACAAAGTAAACAAAAATTGGCCAAAGGTAGTGTGTTTTCGAATTCTTCGTACTAAAAAAGCACTCATCATTTATATCGAAAAAATGAAGCTGTGTATTCAAAAGAAAGTCATCCAACCCCTACATTTATCAACGATCCAGTTCGGTTTGTTTCCTTAGGTCTCGTTTCCCCATCCTCTTCATTGTTTTACTTTCAGTTATAAAAAAACTATTATCTCAGTATGTTGCTTGCTCGTCCCGTTTACACTTGCATTTGTTAAAAAAATATTTTACATGTTACGCAAATATTTCCTAATCAATCAGCTCTATGTTAACCAAAAGACTCAACAGCGAAAAAAGATAAAGCCAACATAATCTACAAAATAAATTGTCACAACTGCGAAAAACACTACATTGGCCAAACTGGATGCCCCCTTCATCTTCGTATCCATGAACATAAACTAACAGTCAAACGACATGTTATCCACGCCCTAATATTTCTATATACACACAACCACAGACATCAATTCGACTGGGACAACCAGCGTTCAAATATCAGACAGAGGAAACACCGAGAATGCTGGAGAATTTTTAGAAGCCTAGTATTTCAGTGAATTGTCAATCAATACACACATCGAGGTAGACAAAATTTACCAACCGATAAGAAGGAAATCTCACACACAAAGGGTCAAAATTCAGGTCAAGGAAACAATCAGTTCCAATACAAGTAACTGCCTAGAGGGTGTGGAAACACACGAAAACAACCAATCACGTTCAACGTAACCAGGAGGAGTGACTAATAAACTCGTGGAGAAATCTAGAAGCTCACTCCAAATTGAAGTATGCGCTGAAGATATTGTCTAGTAGGATAATGAAAGCTTCACAAATACACCATCCAACTCAGAGAACACAGCAGCATCAAAATAATTATGTTTCTAAGCCCCTAGTAATCTATATTCCCACCTTCAAACTTTCATTTTATCACCTTTATTCTCCTCCTTCGTTAGTATGTAGAATTAAATAGGAGTATTAATTGTACCTATGTAAACTTATGTATATGTATACGAATAAACAGCTGCTTTTGAGAATGTAATCACAGAAAAGATATCTATGTTGTTGAAATCCTCGTCCTCTTCTCTCAAATAACTTTGCTCCAGCTTCATTCGAAGATGGTGATGAAGCTCTTTATAAACGGCCTACATTGGATATGTGTCAGTCAACGATGTATAAGTCTTAATTGGTGGATGCTGACTAGCAGTGGAATCCTATTTGGGACTCGCCATCTGGATGTACCTGCATTCCGCAGTGAGTGATGATGTTCCCACCGAGGCTCGAACCCAGTGTCCATAGTTTCGAACGCCAAAGCGTTATCCACTAGACCACTTGGGTCACAAGAGCCACCTGTTGTGCAACAGGTCATATTAATTAATTGAATTTTAGATTTTCCAGTCGAGAAGCCGACATGTCAACCTGAGACCGAGCACTTCGGTCCAATCAATCGACGGGAAAATCTAAAATTCAATTAGATGCAATTACCAGTTGCATGTGTAAAAGTTTGGCTGCTATTGTGCTCCACAGGCTTTGTCAAATGTGGTAAAAATTAATTCGCAAAGAGTGAGTTCATTTTCGTTCCGGTCATGGATGCATTGATCCTGTGTTAGACATAGTTTCCCAATTCCACTATTTCTCTTTAGTTCTGCCTTAGATAACATTCTGGAGACACCTCTGAATAATTTTTGAGTAGTGATGGTTTAGACCTGCTGTTTGAAGAGACATCCTAACCTTAGTGATTACTACATCCTCGTTATTCTCAATGTGTTACAGGGCTTCTATCTATGGTTTCGGCAGGTTAGGCTTTCCTCTCTTTTGTCGTTTTAATTTTAACCTTCATCAGCCTTTGTTTTGTCTATCCGACTTAGTTCTATTTCCGGGATGAAATCCTAAGGCTTCAGCTTGTCTACTGCTACATTGAGATTTGGTCACTTTTCTAAAAAGCTTATTTCTGTGGAACTTAATGCATGTATTGACAGATTGATTACCCACTTTGGTTTACCGACCACTGTTGACTTTAGATTACTGATCTCATCGTTCTCAGATGGAGATTTCTTCTCCAATAATTCATTGAACCTTTTGATTTTTTGAAAGCTGCTGATTTGGCGTTGACAGAGGGCTGTATCATAAGATCGTAATCCTCGTCGGTAACTATTCCCATTAATTTTCTGCAAAAATTAGTAGAAACATTCTAACTTTAATTATGCAGATGATATTGTCTTACTGCAGAATGCTCGTCAACCATGCATGTGGTCCGGGGTTCAACTCTCAGCCGATGCACTCCTCAACCTCGCTTAGCCAGTAGTATATAGGGTAGAGAGGGAAGATTGGACGTGAGATTAGTTACTCCACTCCGTAAAATCTCAAAGCTTGAGGCATTATGCTCCACCTGGAACCCTAAGAAACAAAATAAATCGTCTTACTCTGTGATAGCATACAGACTACCGAAATTGCATTGGATCAGTTGACAATCAGCGACGTCTATAATTACGGTATGTGAATCACTGCATCTAGGTACAAAGTATCTTTGCAGGATAAGTGGTAGCGCAGCCTGTTTCTGTACTCATTCTCGTAAGTGAATCGTTTTGAAGTAATCAACAAGTTCGTACTATCTTTAGGTACTTGTGTTACTACTGATAAAGATGTGGAACAAAGTTTTCACTTATATACTGAAAGCCAAAGCAACATATGCCCATGTATGACACGGTCAACAAACGTGAGATTTACAATGTTTCAGTAGACACAATCCCACTCTACACTCATGTGGAACTTGATCTCTCTAGGAAGATGATGATGACAATGGAGTGTAGCAATTTTGCGTATCCAATCACTGCTTCAGTGAACTGCACACGCACACGAAAAATATCATTCTAGTCATCCTTGTGCTCTTCATTGTTTACAAGCCCTGGAACTAAATGAAGAAAGAGAAGAACGGAGAGTCAGTCCCTGATCTGGTACAATGCGATAAAGGACAACATGAGGCTAGCCATAACCACTGCAGCTACTACTGTTCCACTCAGAACGCAGTGAATCAAAAAGAAATGATGTTATTCAATAACATGTGATTCCTAATTTTCAAAACATTTTTCGGCAAAAGAAATGATCATCAGAGAAACATGTAAAAGGATAATGAAAATATATTTTAAAGAAAAGAAAGGGTTCAATAACAATCCCTATTATCTGTGAAGGCAGAGGAACGGATAATATATTTACTTATTTAGTTTTTACTTCTCATCAGTAAATTCGATGATGATTATGATGAGTGTTCAGTAGAACAGTCTATAAAACAATGAAAATTATAGAAACTCTAGCCTATTTTTTGTTTGTTTACTTGTTTCACAAAGCGATAATCACAGTTTACTACAATTACGTCAATGATAATGTTAATAATAATAATAATAACAGTAGTAGAAATGAAGTCAAAAAGACAAAACGAACTAGTTCACGAAGATTGTGTGTGTAGTTAATACGATGACTGGAGGAGAAAGAAAAAAAAAGAAGTCCAACACAATACATGGGCAAGAAACAATGAATCACAACATATTAAATCTTTTGTGGTTACATAAATTTATTGTTTTGTCAAATTAAGGAATGGGGGACGGAGTGAGGTGAGGCGGGGTGATATACTGATCAAACGACTGTACAAGGGTAGGTTATTAGATGGATGTATATATGATGTATGCCATGGTAAGCAAATGAGAAAAGCAATTCAAGTTATACACTATATAAAACACAAATGATAACTTGTGTAAACAAACCCTCGAAACACTGAGTAACAAGTCTTGCACACACACACACCCGCCATCACCTTCCTCCCGGGTGAGGGGATGGCACCACCCCCACGTGGGAAAACCAAAATAGAGATGTTTGAAAATACGATGTATGTGAAACATTCAGGGAAAAGGATAGTATCGAAAATATATCTTTCTTTTACAAAAAAAAAGAATCTTAACGACACTGTCTGTGTCTATCTGATGCATACACACATCGAAAGACGAAGGGCATATAAGGAAAAAAGCGAATCAACAACTTTTTTCTCATACTAACTGTCAGCAATTTGTAGATGAATGGAATGGATTCAGTTGAGGTTGAGCATCAACAAGATGTTTATATGTATCATGTCTACGTCCACTGTGAGATCGTACATGTTCATCGTCTGATACCTTGGAGACTATAGGTGTGTATTGTTTTGGAGCATCTTCTCTTGAAGTAGAACGTTTTGCTTCTTTCCTGTCAAGATCACCAGTATGAAAAGAATGTCGTCTATGGCTACTCTAGAAAAATAAGAATGAGGGAGAAGAAAATTATAAGTTGAACGATTATTTTTAAATCAAATTTACAACGTACATACTACACAATTTGAGAGGTAGTGTAACAACAGAAGACAAGGGCCAGACAACAGATCGTTTATTAAGGAAAATCAACACATATTTATAGATTTTAATGTACATTATTTTGATTTGACACTGGTAACTAGTGTGATGCGTCTAGTCCTCTCTTTGGTGCAGACTGAATTCTATCAGTCAGGTTGTAATGTGGCCACCATTCTAGGTAGCTCGCCATCACAATGTACACTATCGTAGATTATTGTTAGTAGAAAATACAGTCTTTGATTGGTTGTTTCTCACAGAAAGTTAACCTTGCATCTCTTTGTGGCTGTGTCAGATCATCCATATGCTAACTGTATCCGCCTACGCAAAGTCTTTGTTCTCATTTTCTTACCACCAATATTGGGGATATAAACATTGACGTCAATTACTGTCTACCAACTTTGGCTAGCAGCCAGCTCTCACCACAGTAGTATGACCAGTTGACCTGAGTAGCTAAACCAAAAATCGGATGACTTGAAGTGACTCGGCTCTCTGAGCTGAGTTGAATTATCCACACCGCGCTGATGAGCTTGAACCTAAACGATCGAAACTGCCCTCCTTACCTCAATCTAGCTAGCAAGCACTACTGGTTGATATGAGTGGCATGCAACTACTCATATCAATCAATCAGTAGTATATAGCTTTACGCGAAATATTACTTATTCTGAGAATGTCCCTGAAATGCAATAAGCATTCCAGAATAGTGAATAAATTATATCGATCGAGTCCTAGTGATGTTAGATAACAGAGAGAGGGAAAGCGAGAGTAGTCAAACAGGAAATACGACTATCTTGGGGTTTTCGTGCTAATTGACACTTATCAACAGAATGATTCTAAGAAATCTAAACAAAATGACTGTGTGAACTTGAGTCGCTGAACATTTCAGTCAGACGCATCACTTACTACTAATGATCTATATAAGATGTTACAGAACTGTCAAAAGACCGCATATCACTAGATGATTTACTGTCTTCCAAAACACCTGACAAATGTTCCTGGTACACAGTACTGTGCAACATGCGTGCTCGTGTAATGTTTGATAATATGCTCCACCAAAGGTTATAAAGACCATCTGATTGGTTACAGGATTTCATTCATCACTAGCTGACATCGGTTAGAGAACCACTGGAAAACCAGCAGCAAGAAGTGGACAGCTGTTTCGTTCATCTAGTTTGAGACCCTTCAGCAGTACTCACCCACCGGGGTCCAAACTCAACATCTTCCGGTTACAAGGTAAGCTCATAAACCATTAGGCAACTGAGACTCGATCCAATGGCCAGGCCATGAATTCCAAATTCTGTCAATTCTCAAAATAGCGCGACCACTAGCAAATGTTATGGGAGAATATTTGTCCTCACATAAACTTGATACATGATTGGAACCAAGAAGTGCTCCGCACAAAATCTGATAGTCTATGATACGACTAGAATACTACTAACCCAAAAAAGCAGACTAAATCAAGTGGTTACCTTGAGGGGCTATCCTGTCCCAAGTATTTGACTTGAAGTTCGATCCACAAGACGGTGACCAAAACAGGTTCATACGCCATTCGATCCACTCAGATTCAGGAGCCCATGTACACCGTGGGTTTGGAATCAGGGTTTTCCAGCTACCCTAAATAGATCAACATATCCACCAATCTGGTTGTAACGACACGGTGTATTCGCATTGACCCTTCAACTTTCTTAAGAAACACTCCTACCACGTGAATAGCAGTTGCCTGTCAGAGGATATGAATGTCTAGCCACATGAAAACGTTTCGAGGGAAATATCGAAGTCTACCCACCCTCGACATTGATAGGTTGTTCATTATGTGAGTAACTGATACAATGCACAACAATTGATAATTCAGATATAGGTGTCTGAGAAACAGAGACGTTCTGCAGAGGTATTTCTACCAACAAAAAAGCTTTGATACTAGAATATTACGTATTGACTTCGGGTCAACTTTAATTCTGTATTTCTAAAGGGCAAGGGCTTTAAGACTACAACTTTTCAGTCTCCATGCTTTACTGTTAAACACATTCTCACATAATATTCCTAATAACTGTTTATTTCAAAAGCAGAGAAAAAATGTCAGTATATCAGACAGAATATAGAGGTTAAGAAATAATGAAAACCTACGGTGGAACGTGTTCGATTCTTACGAGTAGGGTTCTCTATAGCACTTTTTGGCGGATTGTCAGACGTCGGTAGAAAGTGAGTTGGAGTAGTATCATTCACATTATTATATAATACAGCTTTCACATGAGAACCAATTGAAACATTATCACCATCATTATCATCTTCACTATCTGTTGAAAGTCCAGAATTATAACGTTTTCTTGAATAATTTAATTGTGATGCAGCTTCTGCGTTAACATTAGATTCATTGAAAAGTTCTCTTGGTAATGCTTGTACACTTGCAGATCGTATAATTGGTGGCCATACACCAGCCAAACGATCAATTTCATCACGTATACGTTCATAATCTTTACGTGCAACATGTCTGTGGAATAATAATAATAAATATACAATTGTAAAAAGAACAGTCATCTACTGAGGATGAATTTAGCCAAAGACTATCACAGATATATATACAGAATAAAATAATTGGAAAATTTCCACCAATCAATGTACAATAAGAAAGCGAGACGATGTTCATAAGCTAGACTGACGAGAAGACACTGGAAGAGCTAGACATCACGTATAATTTATGTCTAATAATATCACACTAATTTGAAGATCTACAGAAAAAACCAACAACTAACTAACCGGGTTTCAATGTAGAACTTTGCATAGATGTTCAGCAGCAGTTCGAGTTGACACACTCCCTCCATGTACCATGCAAAGCATGAGAAGAGAAATTCAAAAGATAGATAATAAACAGAAATATGAGGGACAGAGAATAGTAATATGGAAGAATAGAATTTTATTCGATATGACAAATCACAAAACAGTGAATGCATCTGCACCATCACCCATTATCACCAGGTACTGATTCCTGCCATCCCGAGAACCCCAAATAGTCTGGATGTCTACAACCCCTTACGTGAATGACTGCCTTACACTAACTCTTGTGAATTTCATTGACTGATGAAGTCATGTTTGTTTTAGTTTGACTGCCACCTCTGACTATTTTTCAATCTCAGCTAACATTGCCCGTCGAGGAAGGCGATAGCTAAGTATGCATAAAACATGGCCTACCTATTTCAATCGGCGTAACTTCACAACCTCGTAGATTGATTTCCCCTCCTTACCTAGCACTCGACTGTAGCTTAACCTCAATATTGCTCATCCTATTATACCACTTCACACGGAAGATAGGTCAAAGACACTTATGATCAAAGACAGCTAGCCTTTTCATGTCTTCCACTTTCAATGGCCACGTCTCGCTCGCAACCATAAAGGAGGACAGAGCGAACTGTTGAGCAGTACACACGCCCTTTGGTCGACAGCCAGATATCACGTCCACTAAGCCCAAAGATGGCGTAATTTGGGATATGTCCAACAAGCCTTCTATATCCATACTGAGATTTCGTCAGCAGTCAACCCGCTGGCGTTGGATGAGGCAATTTCCCAAATAAGTGAATTTGTCAACACGCGTAGCCACCACTTCACTCCTTCCCTATCTTTAAGCTAGGAGTCAATGTAGTCCAGACCTGTAGCATCATCTGACATTGGACGGTGGGAGCGAATAGCATGCTGAACATTTGAAGATTGCTGCTCTTCAAGGTGTTTAGGAGAATTTCTGTTTCGACAGCGTCTTCACCTAGGCGCAGGACTATATCATCTGCATAATCTAAGTCAACGAGATTATTCCCCGGGAAAAGTCAATACTTGCGTCGCTGAAGTCAGTTAGGGTTAAGTTCATTAGTACATCTAATGAACAGCTAGTTTTTTCATATCTTACGAAAACCAACAAGCTAAGAGGCAGTACAGACAGGAATTCAGGTGAATATCAAGAATTTAAATATTCTCATAATGATACTTAAAGAACATGATTTAAGCAAATACGTATTTGAGGTATTTCTTGTATCGCGCTAGATGAATCTCCACAGTCGACACTCGAGATAATGAAATAAAGGAAAACAGAAAACTTTGTTTAAGAAAACGGATACCCCGAAAAATTTGTTAAAGTCTCGATGAGGAGAACACAGATAAGAAAGAAATGCCTGCAAACTGTGCAGAAGAAACGCATGTATGCATGACTTCACCGTTTTAAAGGAAACGCAGCAACTGAATTGTTGGCATCGAAAATTCGAAAACAAATAGCTAAAACATTCTTTGCCGCAATACTGGGTTTTAAATTTGGCACTCGTTGTCTAATTCCAACGCAGGTGACGGATAAGCTACCAAGTCTGTCCATTTATAAACTTAACTTTTCATGTACAGGCAGTTACAAAGATAGAACGACTCAGCAAGCCCACAGTCGCCTGCTGGAGCACTGTCCAAATTGATTGTTTAAAGGAGTTGTAAAGTCAATTAGAAGTTCCATACTGACATATCTAGTGGATATGGAGCACCAGACTGCTAAAAAGAACGTCAGCTTTTACAACTGTACTCTCTACACAAATTATACTTAAGCATGGACTAAGGTAGTAACCTAATAATTAATTTCAATACACAAACGTTTGAGCAGCATTTTAATCCTTTGATTTTTCGAATTTTCATTAACGGTGATGTTGTTTATACAGAGGTGAATTTGCTTAAGCTCACACTCAACCTTCACTCTTTCCCTGGATGACATGGTTCAAGACTGTGGTGGCCGGGAATCACACCCTGACGTCTTGCATGGATAACATTCGACTACCATACTACTGACACAGAAAATAGGCATTGAACAGTTTCGTCTCAATTCTAGATTCTTCAGGACAGTGCACCCATGACTGCTCCATGGATAGAACTTGAGATATAGAAGAACACAGCGCTACACAGGACATATTGTTCATGTACCATGCTATGAGTGGCACAGACATACGCAAGCACATTGTATGAGGATCGATAAAACTACTTAGTTATCAAGACTAGAAAAGGTGAAGCGCGGCTCGAACGTGAGACCAATCAATTGATACTTGAGTGCTTAAGCCAATGAGTGGCATCCCTACAAACAAAGTAAGACTAAGAGTTTTAAGTGAATACTTACAATTCTAAATACCAACACTGTCTTCAGCATTCCTCTCTTCTAAGGATGGAAACAGTGTATGACTGGAAACGAAGCAACAAGATGTTTACAATAAAACAGGTGTAACTGAAAGTTTACCGTCGTCTGTGCTGTATGAAAGTGAACCATACTTCAATACTATCAGGAATTCTTGTTAAGAATAAAGCACCACACAAACAAACACACCACTTTTTAAGGCAACCTAAGTAGTTTTAGTATTGTCTTTTATGCACTAAGTATGATTCAAAGCCATTCTTCTTCTTATTATTATTCACTTGGGTTCCGAGTGGAATATACGGCTTCAACAGCTCAGCCCCATTGCAGATTGTTCTCTAAGGGCATTTTTTTGTTGGTTCCACTATTTCGCTTAAGCTTTTATCACCTTTTCTGTGTCACCGTTGTAAGTGCACACGCTCAGTTCATCAACCTCTTCACATTCGCATTTCACTCGAGCATCATCAGTGACATGTGGTATTATCACTCAGAGATCTCCACAGCATGTATGTCAAATCCATTTCCATTTTCTTCTTCACATAATTGTTGGGTAGATAAAATTCTTGGTTAGTTAGGACGCCTATCAGAGTGCTTTGTTCTTCCAGGCCAGCCGCCATCTAATCTTCATTCAGCACTGGAACTGAAACATGGTTAAAAACAATCTCCATCTATCATTCCCTTAATTTTACTCTTTTAGCAAACAGTTTACTTCTTTTTAGAATTATAATGTGAATTTCGCATGCATATATATATATATATATTAACAATCCGTCCTACACGATCTTTTGTGATAACGATAACGCATAAATTCCATAGAAAATGAAGAAAAAACAGTTTTAAAGCCTTATGATGAGTACAAATGATGTCTAATTAGTTTATTGATCGATACATACTAATTAGTGATTAGACATATGTGTGTAAGTGTGTGTGTGTGCGGTGCATCCCGACGGTAAAATCACGCCATAAGTAGATCTCATGACAACCTTTCGTGCATGATCAATTATTCAGACGGAAAAAAACAAGCCTACAGAAAAATAATGATAAAAATTCACAAGAATCAAAGAATTTCAATAATTAGGTAGGTAGGTAAGTATATGCAGGTATTATGTATCAGATAAGTAACTACTGAAGGCGAAAACAACAAACGTACCTAGGGAACAGGGCTAGTCGAATATGACGTATACGTTGACGAAATGATACACCGTCTACAATAGACTCTAAAATACATCCAAATAACAAATTCCCAAGAGCTATTCCATGCAGGATAAGTATAAAAACAATGGAAGGTATTCGACAAAGCTGAAAATTAAAAAAAAGAAGAAAAAGGCAGAAGAAAGATATAAAGTCTATACCAAAGTAATATTCTGGATGTAATGTAGATACTGTAATGAGAAGTGTAAAACTGACTTGTAATCGATACATGTCGGATTGAATTTTCACAAGAAAAATTTGGATCAACAGTGATAGCGATTTGGGGCGTCAACCCTCCTCTTCCTTCACCAATTATCATCATTATTCCACCTACACATATACATTGAACTTCTCCGACATTAAGTAACAACCTTTGCCTATAATACCATCAGTATGTGTACACAACTGAATATAAATTATAAAATTGAGTAGAAACATTAATTAAAGATGAATTTTTGTAAATGAAAGAAATCCGAAGTAGAAAATGTCCGTGTACAGGAAATAATCAATAATCATCAAGGAAACAGTAACAATCAATTTTATTATTATTAATTATTACTGGAATACAAACTTGGTACATCATACCATAGTTTGTGCCAGGGCTGGGATACTGCCCGGATACCCAGACTGAATCAGGTGGTTGTCTTAAGGAACTGAAGCTTCGAATTGAAGTCCAATCCACAAGACAGCCGACTGGCATTCCCATGGTTGACGGTGATCGAAACAAATCCATAACCTATTCAATCCTTTCGGATTCTGGAACCCATGTATACTATAGGTTTTTATTCAAGGTCTTTTAGCTTCCCTAGGTAGAGTTGTCTGTCTGTCAGTCTGGTTGTAATCATCAGATTTGCTTACTCTCTGTTCCACTTTTACGAGGAACTCCACCACTATGTGAAGGCGGTTAATAAAACTTACTTGGCAGAGGCTATAAACGCAAGGTGATGTGAAAGCATTTAGAGGGGAAGACAGAAGTCTACCTACTCCTGGCCGTACCTAGTCGTTTTTGTGACAAACAGTGGCAACTGTTGATGAGTTTATTCAAAGTTCTTCATTCTACATGTTATGAGATGCAGATTTTAGTGAAAATTCCATTTATAAAAATTCTTTCAGAAAATAAATCTGGAGCACTCGGCTTCATGGTAGTTATTTATGTCCAGCAGCATGGAAATGCCAGACCTTTATCAACAACTGTCTTCGTTCTATACTCAAGATCAGATGGCCGGAAAGAATCACAAACAAGAAGCTATGGGAACAAACGAAACAAGAACCAATCGCTCAACAAAATGCAGGAGAAAGTGGAGATGGATTGGACACTCGCTGAGGAGGCCACTCGCTGGGTGACATCGCGCGTCAGGCCAGTGCTCGAGTGGAACCCGAAAGGGAAGCGGCGAGTGGGACGTCCAAGGGTGACATGGAGGAGATCGTGTGAAGAAGAGTTGAAACAGTATGGACTAACATGGATGCAGGTGAAAAGTACAGCACAAGACAGAAGCAAGTGGAGGCGTGCAGTTGAAGCCCTATGTTCCACTAGGAACTCAAGGGAACAATAATAATAATAAGCATGGAAATGCAGACTGAAATCTTACCTCATTTTCAAAAAATTATTACTACAAATACACCGAGTATAGCACAAAAGCCGCCCAAAAAAACGATATACACTATGGGTCTATTCCAAACATATAGTTTTACCAGTGAATAAGTAAACATTCTACAAAGACAATCAACGCGTGTATTTTAAGGTGTATTTCGTCAATTACAAATCCTCACAAAACCTATAATCGAAAATATCGATCTATAGCTCAATGATGGATACTGGATAGATGTTCAGAAGCTGCACTGAGATATCGTGGCCGGTAGGATCTATCATGTTAAAGTAAATTAGGTGATCGGCATTGGTTATATTATGAATTGACAAGCTTATAATGCACGGTTCAGTAGTGAATTCCAGCCCAAGTGGATGAATAGTCAACGAGCTTGTTGTAGCAGGCATCAAGACCCTGGGTTCGATCCCTGGTGTCATGGGTGTGCATTGCTGAAGGAGTCCAAAACTAAGGCAAAACAGTTCTCTAGTTACCCCCTGGTTTTAAGTGGTTGCCTTACGATACCTACCTTGAAATTAATGAAATGCCTACAACCCAGAAATTAAAAATCTCACACATATTTATGTACCTGAATATTGAGGGATGTTTCTTTTATGATAGTGAAACGGATGCTCAAAATTGTGTAAGCAGGGAGACATAGAAACATCCAAGCGACTGGTTGGAAGTTGAATAACTCATTCCACGAATCAAAAATCTTTAAATTTCTAAGTGGTGTTTAAACGGATATAATCTGTATTATAAAAGTTTCTATCTACCCTATTTGAGTAGGAGGTTTGAAAAAGGGGAACAAGAAAATAGTGTAATCACAAACTGAAGAGTACCATAAAACAGAGCGAACAGAAAATGTCATTTAGGCTACGATTAAGCGTAGATGATAGAAGGTACAATTTGCAAGAAACCCCATTTCACCTAGGTTTCGCACTTTTTGGCACTTTTCAGTTAAGGCATATAGGCAACCTTGAAGAAATTCATATCCTCTCTGAGATTCAAACAGTCGCTAAGTGCTTCAGTTAGAGACATTACCGTCAAGTTATTCCATTTCACTACTGATCTTCTGCACGGCTGTAATGAATACTTTCATTGGACACTAGATAGTAACTCATCTCATGTATCTAGTCATCAGTGTTCGTGCCGACTGAATTCTAGCAGTAAAGTGAAAATGTACATGCACTAATACAACAGATTCTTATTCACCAAGGCGAAGATGCTGATGAAATCAAAGATATTTACGCCTACCAAATAGTATTTCACTGTAAAGCGGAGCATTTTAGATAAAAATTCAGTACAGTTGAGGCGAATTGATTAAATAACATAATAAAGTTGAAGAGGATGGGTAGATAACTTTCATCGGAGTGTTAAACACAACAGACAAATAGGAGGCAAAAAACACACAATAATAACAGACTGAAATTCAGCAGGGTATGATGATTAACATAAATTAAGCTACTACAGGGTAGTTATGAGTTTGAAATACAGACGGAATGAATAAACATTACTCATAAACATATAATGTATGAGCACCTCCTAATATACTACCTGGCTGCCCAAACTTCAGTAGAGTCGAGTGAGATACGAATCCGTAGACTAATCAGCTAGAGCTTCATCGTGGATTTAAGATATTACCAATGATGAACGATTTATATACCATTCAAATGGATCAAACAATACCAAAATAAATCTGGAATATAAATTATAGTACGTTTTAATAATACGGTTAACCCAAGCCTCCCTGCACACACCCCCCTCAAAAAAAGAAATCCAATAGCATTCATAACTAGAGGAAACGCCGGTGAAGAAGATAATCAATCACTATCAACGGAAGAAATTTGAAAGAGTTCACTTCCGTCGCTTATATAAAACGAATCGTTTTAACTACTCATTTGACAGATGAAGATATTAAAACCACACCTTTATCAATCTGAAATCGGCATAAGCAACAAAATTCGAATTTCAGACACAAACCTTAAGTTAGTCAGTGCTTCCATATGGGTCAGAGACATGGCGCCAGCTTCGCGAAAAGCATTTCCACCAAGCTACTTCAGACTTTATTCAACAGCTCCCCCCTAACCTGGCACCATATCGAAGATCAAATGACCGACTAGTAAGAATTAGCAACAAGACATTCTAGGAAAAACCAATCAAAAACCTACTGTTTCTACGAATGTGCCGAAGAAAATGGAGATGAATTAGATACACGCTGAAAGGAGATAATCGAATGAAATCGCGCGCTGGGCCATCCTTTCTACTGGAACTCAAATGGGAAACGACGAGTTGGATGTTGGTTCGACGGTGACATGAAGGAGGTCATGAGAACAGAAGATGAGAGTTTATGGGCAATCGTGGAGTCAAATGAAGAGGACTGCAGAGAATAAGACAAAGTGGAGATGTGCTGTTGAAATGGAACGTTCCAATCGGAACACAAGTGAATAATAATATTGTTTATAACACAGTGTTTGTGTTTTCGTTTTTAAGCTTTTATCTCTTCGAGTCAACAAAGCAGTAAAGAAAAAGATAACTAAGACGTCAGTGAAACAATAACCATTGAAGAATTAAACGAACAATAGGAAGAACTTTACTATACCAGATAATAGAAACAATGTGTATGCAGTATCATATGAGTTGCATAGAAACCGATACCAGCACGGTGGAAAAGAAAACTGTATATTTTCTCATAATGATGTAGAGAATAGAAGAGAAATGAACAGACACACACGCATAGATTGAACAAAGACAACTTCTCCTAGCAACTGTTAACACAAAAGAGTATTAAATGCGTTTGGTGTATTGAGCTCTAAAACACTTCTGATCACTGAAATGATGTAGAACAGTAGACAGGAAAGCATGTTTTGATGTTGAAAACAATCAACAGTGTATAACGACTGAAGTATTTGGATGATATGCATGATTTCAAGATTGATCGTGATCTGACTGCTGGACAGATGTCACCAAATTTGATCGTGAGTCTTCAGTAGTACGCAGCCATCATCCCACTCACCACAGAGGCTGAACTCAAGACCTTTAGGTAACCAGATGAGCTTGTCAACCATTTACCCTACTGGAATAGAATCCATTAGTCTATCTATTGGAATTTTCCTACTAATTTGCGATATGTAGTGCGACACTCAGCCAGTGTCAGCACCGGTGAGTATTTGTCTTCATACCCGATGGTCACGAAACTAGTGTGTCCCGCAATTAAATCCTAGAATGTACGCTAATTAGAAACGTGGTCAGGGTTTGACTCAGGTTGGCACGCACTCCTAAACATCGCTTAGCTAATAGTAATCGCGTAGAAGATAGGAGGTTGGAGGGGTGGACACAACACAGCCACTACTGAAATTTCAAAGCCTGAAGCTTGATGAAGCCCTATGTTTCACTCGAAACGGAAGGAAAGTAAGACAAACAAACATGAACACTCAAGATTTCATCATGAGGTGATATAGGTTAGACAACTATTGGAAAACCAGCAGGGAGTACTAGACAGCTATCTCCTCTGTCCTAGTATGAGGCCCTTCAGCAGTATGCACCCACCAGGGTTGGAACCTAGAATCTTCCGGTTGTAAGGTGAGCTCTTACCAGTTTGTATCATACAACCACCATTATAACCACTAGTAGTCAACCTTTATGAGATGAATAAAAGTGAACAAGAATGAACGTTTTCTTTTCCTGAATTCCCCAAAAAGAAAATATTACATCAAATTCTTACCTCGAATAAGTGACGAATAATATGAGTTGGGTGGGAGGTTAGATACAGAGACGCAGCGACGCATACAGCGACGTTGCAAAGAAATATATCTATGAATATTTTGAAAAACAGAAAAAAAGAGAGTAGCAATGACAACTAATTAGAAGTGAAAATGTTTGTTGTTAAAAACAATGTTCATAAATTCATGGATACACCTCAGTCTTCCTCTCTACATGCTCTCATCTTGTTGCCACATGTTCAAGAACTCCCTTTGATAGGTAAATCCTATGCACTACCTTCACACAGTGAGGATGTTTCTTACACTTAAAGCCAGACTAGTGGACATGCAGGTCGACACCTAGAAGAGTTGGGAAATCCTGATTTCAAATCTAAAGTTTATATAGGGTCTAGAGTCCGAGTGGATTGAATGGCGTTTGAACTTCTTACCTTACTTTCTTGTGGATCAAAGACGAAATTAAAGGCTCACCTGCTTTGGTCTAAGCACTCGGGAAGTGTTCCAACCCTCACACTAACTATGGTGTGGTGCATGAAGGATTACGGTTACGCACGAACAGTACTTTGTGAACTTTATTTCCTAGACATAAGCTATCTCCCGTGTTAGGTGGCATAAGAAGGAGAGAAATATTGAGGTTAGACATCAAGTGATAGGTAAGGAGTAAAAATCAATCTACGAGGTTCCGAAGCAGCTGCATCGATTGAGATGGTTAGGACATGTGTTACTCACGCCTAGTCATCTATCTCCTTCCTCGACGGGCAATGATAAATGACATGAGATGGATCAGGATGGAAAAGAGCTAATGTTGGTCTAACCAAAACATGGGGCATCAGTCAATGAAATCCAGTTAGTTCAAAACAGCCAGCCACGTAGGGAGGTGTGTACTGTCAGTCAGCTTGGGGTCCTTCGGACAGTGAAAACCAATGAAGGTTGGAGACAATTAGTGATACGTATCAAAATCATTCTCAGTAATGGCGCAGATGCATTCACTCTTTATGATTAATCATATCCAATAAAACGTTATTCCTCTTCCATTTTACTATTCTTTTTCCCTCACTCACACTTCTGTTTATTATCTCTCTCTTTCTTTTGTTTTCTGTGCTACATAGAGGGAGTGTGGCAACTCGAAGTGCTGCTGCACGTCTATAGAAAGTTTTATGTTGAAATTAGTCATTCAGTTTCAATGCAACGATGATAAGTAGTAAGCAGTAAGTCAATCTTTCGATTTGAATTCAGTTACTATTCAGAACAGATTTTCCATGAGCAAGGCTATATGCCATAAATATCATGTAGATGCAAATGATGACACTACCCAAATACTAACGCTGCAGTAGACAGAGTGGGATTAGAACCTTGGGTCCTTTGGTCCACTTGGTACATTATAGACACTAAGAGACGAGACATACACAAATAACAATACATAAGGAAAACACGGGCAGAGTGAATGAGAACGTCATCTAAAAATCAAGCAAGCATACTTATCAAGATCATTCAACATTTTTTTACTTCATGTTACCTTAAGAAAGGCAAGAAAGAAAGAAATTGCCGCATGTTCGCCATTGATTACGATTCCTGGCCATATTTGATAACCTTTCGAACAAGCGATGTGCACTGTCTCTCAGATCGTAAGTCGAGGAGTTATGACGCTAACCTAACACAAACATGCTGCATCCAAAGGAGCCACATCATAGCCTAAAAGCCTCTCTGCTTTTTCTATCAACGAACAGTTACCAGTACGGAAGACAATGAGATGACGTTTACAGTACATGTGTGGTACAAGCCACTGAAGCCAGTGTTTCGACATGGCGACAGTCAATGAATGATGAACTATAAAACCATTTCATCTAAATGCATACTGCCCGCCTTAAGACTTACTTGCCATCAGATGCAACCAATCCTACGGAGGCAATGATGATCGAGTAGGCAGAATCGCCGTACATCCTTAACACTCAAAGAGGCCAAGTTTCAGAAGCGTAGAGTAAAAACAATACGCAACGAAGCATTAAAAATCCAACCTTTGTTCACTGGCCAAGTTGGTACAGTAAATTCAATTCAGTACAGTATATAAACTAATACGTAAACACTCAGATAGAACGAATAAGGCATAGACAAAACAAAATTTATCAAAAGGATTTCATCAAACTCTTGGTAAGATGAAAAACACATAACAAATAAAAGAAAAAAGAAATCCTTACAATTAGAGAAAATCGATCGACGATAGGGTGCTCCTTTAGAGAAGACAATAGCCAATATGATATACTGATACACGGATACAGTAAATACCGCAGTGCTTTCATAGTTCAGTAATTCATAGTCTTCATGATATGTATTCAGAGGCAAATACCTTGAGAGAGAGAGAGAGGGAAAGAAAAGAACCATGATAAAATTTAGCGTGATTATAACAACCTAAACAAAACCATTGTGGTTTAGTACAATAAAAGGCACATAAATATGAATAGCCGAAAGAGTTTATTCTTACGAAGATGAATACAAGGGCTCGGTACTCAAATAGATGAGAAATGACAGAAAACAACGAATAGGAAAACAACAGAACATCATATTTATTTGTAAGAGAGATACGACGAGTCACTCGGTATTAGTATAATGATCAACAGTATGTAGCCGGTCAAAACACAAAACCAAACTTAAATCATGGGCTCTTTCTAGGGATTGTGAACTAGTTGAAATGTAGATGTTGTCACGAACTAACAAATCAGTTAAAAAGACCAATGAAAACCAGTAGACACTGGAAAACTGTTTCGGCCTAGTTGGGGATTCTTCGACAGTGCGCAACCACAACTCCTCCACCATGAATGGAAACCGGGACATTCATGTTGCTAGGACAACCTCATTGACGTTTCAACCAACTGAGCTGGAAATCATTATTGTTCTTCACTTGGGCTCCCAGTGGAACATTCGGCTTCAACAGCACATCTCCACTTCGTTTCATCCTGTGAGGTCCTCTACAGCTGGTCCAACAATTGTACATATCGTTCTCGCACAATCTCCTCCATGTCACCCTCGGAACAACATCCAATTCATCGTTTCTCATTCAGGTTCCACTCGAATGGTAGTGTGGTGTGTGATGTAATTAGACGGTTTTATCAGTGTGTACCCAATCCATCTCCATTTTCATCGGAATATTTGGTCAACAGGTTCTTCGTTGGTTTGTTTCTTGTAGCTAATTCCTTCTGACCATCTGATATACACTATGGGGCCGGTGAATGTGGGCGACTATTGATAAAAGTTTGTAGCCCACTCAAAATGTCTTTTGTGAAGCTGGTCTCGAGTTTCTGATCCATACAATAGCACCGAGTGACTTAATATAACTTAACATAACGTGCACCAGATACCAGGATGACTGCCATTGGATACCCTCAATATTTCTCCCAAATTCCAGTTCTCATCCAACAATAGCTTTATCTTACGTCTCAATAGGAAATATTAATTTTCTTTTATAATTATCTAAAACTTACCATGGTTGCATTCTAACGATTGTGAATACAGCGAACTGTACAAGAGCACAAGTGAACAATTGTAAACCCAGAGATAATAATGTTACAGTGGATAATAATCGCATTCCAGGTGGTTCCACAGACAGGCGGGGATAGGCAGGGGTATAGCCAACTATAATACAGATTGAAAAAAAGGAAAAAATCCATATTAGTTTGTTTATTAGATATACCACACAGTGGTGAAACAGTATTAATAACTAGATAACTTTTCAACCAAAATTTATTGTTCATAATCATATCACCAATTATAATCACACGACTTCGAAACTTGAGATTCACAGTTTACGTTGTTCTCTCCTATTTCTCTTCGTTGGGGTAGTAGAATTTTCCAGATATCTGGTTGGATAGGTGTTGAATCATTCCTATTACACGTATCTGCAGTTGATTTGATAAACAAAGCTTCCGTCATCAATCTTTCCCTTCAACCCTGCTCTTGCATTAGATTTTAAAACTGTCATCTTATCCCATTTATCCTGTTGTATGGTTGTGTATAATTGCATGTGGTGCTTGCGATAGCTGCTGAACTATTCTCTAGATTTCTTATCTTATTCGGGTAAACTAATCCCGATTTTGTTAAGTTTTGTGCTCCGTTGGTCTCATTGCCTCCGTTCTAGTACTTTGACTTATGTATTTCACCTGACAATCACTGCAGGCAGGGTATTAAACAAAATAAATTGTGTTTTGAAGGCTCCACAGTATTGATCATTTAACGACGAAACCTGTTTTTAATTGTGTTTGTGGGTTTGAATACCAGGCACCTTTATTCCTGGCTTGTTAAGAATTTCGCTAAAGGTTTCCGAGGTTCTTTTTTCGTATGGAACTACTATTGATGATTTAGATTCCTTATTGTTGGTGTTGTCGTTATCTTGCGCATGTTGGGCATGCATGTCGTCATCAATATTATTATCATTACTATTACTATTATTACCACTATCTCCGCCATCATTATTAACAATTTTAATTTTGCATCTCCCTACAGGCTTCCTGATTAATTTATAAGGGTAATTATTTGCTTTCAAAGCTTCTCCTCTTATATGCCTCACTTCCTATCTCAGATTTTCCTTAGCACTACGTAGGTTTTGTGCCCTATTACTTAAACATTTCACCAATCCTATTTTCACTGACATAGGATGGGATGATTGGAAGTCCATATATGTGTTTGAATGTGTGGGTTTCCTGTAAACACTAGTGTGTTTAACTTCCTTCCTTCTTCTTTCCTTTTTACGCTACAACTCAACATTGGAAGCTCCCCTTCCTGACTTTCTAATTCATCATAAGTGAATTGAATTGTCTCCACCTTTGAGAAAAAAATCCAGGCAGCTAAGAAAGATGTGAATATATATATTACTAATGTTATAGATCAAATCTGTACATAAAGCAATAAGATTCCCATGTGGCGTGATGCGGATTGTGATAGGCAGTGAACAAACGTGAAATCAACATTTTTAGCTAATGGTTACACAGGTAGAAGTGTTTAATCGCCACAGTTGGATTTAGTTGACCTTTTTTGATCTAAAAATAACCTCGCTAAACCTTGAGCCAATTGCTAGCCAATCAGAACAATTTATTCTCCTCTGACCTAGCCGAATTTTATTATGGCTAAGAATGTATAATAAATAGAATGCGTATTTCCAGTATAAAAGTACGTTACCAAGTCTGTTATCTTCTCCCAAGTTACAGTCATAGTAACACATGAAAACAACACATGTAAGCGAACAATACTGTGTTTTCAATAAGATCTTTATCAAGATTTACTCGAATATACATAATTTTACAAATAATTATTCAGTACAAACTATTCATGGTGATTCGTCAATACGATAAGATTATACACATAAATTGTGTAATTAGTTTTAATAATAATAATGCTATTATAATAAGACGATATAGCGATTTTGATAATAACGATAGCGAAAAACAAATGTCCAGGTCAACGCAGTCGATAAGAATCAGAAAAACAAATGGACCGATTAAGTTATGCTGGATTGTAAGAGAAGTAAATAAACCTTGTTTAAATGAAGGTACTATAAGACTAAGGGTTGGTAACAAAGAAACATATATATATACATATACATATATATCACTCAGCGGCGTCTGATTTTGTTGTATCGATCTGGTGAAATCAATACCACCTTATGTATGTCCTTGTGCTTGTAAACACTACCCCCAATCACTAAATCATGAAATGCACAGAATTCTGCAGAGCTTGGTTGGAGAAATTCACTATGAGCTGACATTGGAGAACCTGCGTGGAGTACTGGACAGCTGTTTCTTCAGCAGTACGCACCCACCGACTGGGATGCGAACCCAAGATCTTGCGGTTACAAGGCGAGCTCGTAGACCATTAGGCCAATGGGACGTAATCCAATGACCAGTCCACGATTTCTATTTTCTGCCAATTCATAAAATAGTGCGACCAACTCGCGATGTCTTCTTCAATTAGTTACTACCTCACCTTCAACCTGCTGCAACATACTGGTCATGGCTTCCCACTAGAACCCCAGGTTGCCTGAATAGGGCCAGTCGCTAGTGAGTATCAGATCAATTTTCAAGTATTGGTTTTGTAGGGATTTGATTGATTGGTGGCAGCACTTCATCATGAACTGACCAGTGGCTTAATGGTCTACGAGCTCGCCTTGTAACCACAAGATCCAGGGTTCGAATCCCGGCTGGCGGGTGCGTACGGATGAAGAGTCCCAAACTATATGAAAGAAACAGCTGTCTAGTTCTCCCAGCTTTTTCAGTGGTTCTCTAACTGATGACAGCTCATGATGAAATCCTTCAACCGATCAAACAAATCTCTACAAAAACGAATGTTTCAAAATTCTGAAAAAGACTTTTCTGTTCTCATTCCTTTCCCCAAGAGCCTTCCGACCTAATGATGAGTTCTCTTCCAGTGTTGTTCACTCCCAGTCTACTTGGTATCCATACCACTCATTAGGATTTCACTGTCACCATTTGAAGTCTCATCCATGACTGCGTGCAGTAGTTTATAAAACTGTTGCTTCTCAACCAGGTCTGCGTTCTTTGTATGTGAGTAGGGTTTGATAACTGTATCTTGAAGATCAGATAGTCAGAAATAATTAAGAAAAAGAAACTCTGGGAACAAGCCAACCAAGAACCTTTTGCTCAGCAAATATTCCTATGGAAGTGGATCGGAGGAACGCTGAGGAGAGGATCGAATGACATCACACACCAGGCCATCGCTCGAGTAGAACCTGAATGAGAAACGACAAGTGGGTCGTTCAGGGATGACATGGAAGAAATCATGAGAGGAGGAGATAAGACAGCTGAAGAGGGTCCCGGAGAATAGTATAAGGTGGAGATGTGCTATTGAATCCATATGCTTCACTCGGAAACCAAGAAATCAATTATATATACGTATATATATATATATATATATGTATATATATATATATATATATATATATAATTCTCTGCGCCCGAGTGGATACATAGGGCTTCAAGCTTCAGCTTTGACGTCTCATTAGCTATGGTGTCATTTCCTAAAGGATGAGGTTGCCAGCCTCACACCACCAAATGCTCTTCCTTATCGAGCTTACAACCAGCTGAGCAAACCTACAGGAGTGCATCGACGGGGAAATCGATCACGAATACATTCTCCTTTCCTAACATCCATAGTTAGTGTTCAGTATACAGAAAGTGTGCACACAAACAATAAAAAGACAAAATAGAACTGACTACTAATCAATGCTCATGTAAAAAAAATTATTTAAACCAAACAACAAATTGCGCATGTCAATCAATGTCTTGAAATACACCAGTATTGTGTGTTTGTATCTGAATAACTGACGGGGTTCTTTCTTTCGGTTTTTTTGTTCCACTTTCAACGTACTATAAAAGAAGAACTCGTCAGGAGAAAATTAGAGAAAAATCACACACATACAGAGTCTCATAGTCTTACATTAGATAAGAAAAGACTGTGTTGTTTTCAAACCAGAAAGTTTTTCTCAAAAAAACGCAAAAACGCAGAAACCACTAAGAATTTAAATGTTAATTTTATAAAATACAAATTTTGTGAAATCTCGTGAGGATCATATGTCCAGTTTTTGGTAGATTTTAAAGGAAAAAAATAATCTGAGGTGGTGATTTTAGAGGCGGTAAAAAAAGTAACATACGTTTCAGACTTCAACTACGTGGTGTGTGTGTGTATATTACAGAGTAGTAACACTAGAAAGTGTAAATTGTACAAAAACTTAAAATTATGAAGTATGGAAATAGTTTATTGACTTTATGTATATTGAAAAGAATAGTGAGTGTGGATAGCAAATTTTAGTTAACCAGTCAGTGAAACTTCATTCATACAGTAGTGTATGTGGTAGTTGTCAATACCAGCACAACTCTTGACATCACATTTAGCCGAGTGTACAAACAACGCTGAGGATGATTGACAACCAGAAGTCAAAGGATGTTAAAAATCTGATGGATCTGTATGACTTGATCTATGTTTCATAGAACTACAAAGCCGATGATGAGCTAAATTCGCTTAAACGTTAACTGACTACTTTTTATGTAATGATAACCATTAGGAATATCCTGTCATGAGGATATAGGATACGAAAAAGATATCAGTCGAAGGCAACATCTATAAACTTTCTAATCTTCTGAAGGAATCCAACTGTCGAAAGTTGGGTTAGGATATGTAACGCATGTCTAGGCATCGACTTCGTCGACAATGGGTAAAAATAACTGACATAGGATGGATAAGGTTGGAAATGAGCTAGTGGTGCTCAAACCAAAACAAACATGGCTTCACCAGTCAGTGAAATCCCCAACAGTTAGTTTAAGCCAGTCAGCCAGCCAGTGTAGACTTCCTGACTGATTGGGGTCCTCAGGGTGGGAAGAGCCAATGAATGCTGGAGACAATCGGTGCTATGGCTCAAAATCGTCCTCAGTGATGGTGCAGGTGTATCCACTTCTTGTGATTTATCATATCCAATAAAATTCTCTTATTCTTCGATATTACTATTCTTTTTCCCTAACTCACACTTCTGTTTATTATCTCTTTAGCTTCTGAATCTCTCTTTACTCTGTTCTCTTCCTTGATGAAGGGAATGTGGCAACTCGAACTGAACACATTAGATTTTCAAATAAATTTCAAAATAATGAAAGTCTATCTTGCTTATCCGAGCCTGCCTTTAACATCCTCATCCGCAACTTATTTGAAATAGATAAACGTAAGAGGTTACTTCGTTTAGATTTCACCTTTAGATAATGAATCGAGCTTTTTGCTATTGATGCTATCGGTAAAGCATCTTCATCACCTTCGTCTTAACTCAAAGTAATAGCACGAGTCAATTAGGAAGGCGAAAATTACCCAGGTTTAATCCCAAGGATACTACATTGCAAAGTTCAGAGATTTTTGGTACTTTACGGCTGTGAACAGTTAACAATAGTTCCTCGGTGACAACATCAGCGAAATAGTTACACAGAACCTGGATAATGCAGTTAAAAGAGGTTTCAATTCAGCAGACGTACGTTGTCTTTACACTACCGTCCCCATCTTTATGTTCGAGAAATAAGAATAAACTACCTAATTCTGCCTCATCTATGTGTATCTACCAGTTTTACTGCGGCTTCGGAGTCTGCTACTTCGGGCGTACAATTAGACAGGTTCATCATCGAATGTCCGAACATCATCCTGCATGGTTAAGCAGCAAGAAACGAACCAGATCTAGTCGCAAGTCTGTTTCAGCACGCCTTGTATATAGCAAGCATAGAATTGATGTTAATATAGCATTTAAAAATATTTATCGCATTCCTACTAATCTTAATTTTGTTTTACGAGTTCATCTTTTACTTAAAGAGATGAAGCTATAGGAATCCACCTGAAGTAGCCAAACCTGTGTGTTCAGAAGAAATTCGTACAGCCACTTTCCTTACCTCTGAGATCATTACATCAATGCATACACTGGACTACTTCACTCCTGAAATTTGGACAATTATAATTGTCCATATTATTTTATTATTTTTGTTGATTACTTTATCTTTAATTACACCTTGTCATTGTTGTAATCACTTCTAGCCTTTAATTGTTTGAATTATCTATCTTGGTTATTATCAAGCCCTGTGACATTTTGATATTGATTAATTATTGTTCACAAACATTTCAGTGCCACTTGATTGGTAAATTGTTGTGTATTGTAATAAAAATGTTATACATGTATTAGAGTACAGCTAGACAGAGATGAGGATCTAATTGAAAAGTAAATAACTCTTCGCTAATCATCGACAGATTGCTGCCTTCGGCGTCATATCTTCATCTGATACATATTTGTATAAGATTAGCCCAATTTTCTTTATTATTGTTATTCCTTTATGGCTTCCCTCCAAACATCACCATTTCACTCTGTTCTCTGGAGTTATCTACAGCTGGCTGCACGATTACCACAAGCCTCCATTTTTCCCCTAAACCGTCTCATCTATGTCATCTTCTCGAGCATGTAACTTGTCGTTTGCAACTCGGGTTCCACCCAAAGGTTTGGCATATGCCCAATTTATCTCCACTTTCGTTTGTATATTTTGTTGCTTATCTTTACCGGCCAGTGCCATAGGATCTTCAGCAGTGATGATATATACTTATTTACTTCTATGCAAGATCCCACACATATTGACCCAGTTATTTGTCTAACGGAAACAAAAACCGATAATGCCTACTCTCAAGAATCATCCTATTAGTGACAAATAGACTGAGATCTTAACATGTGCTACAGTAACCATCACACTAAATAATTTAACAACGACTGACTGGTTTCAACATAGGACTTTGAACAGAATTGCAGTAGTTCGATTCGCCACACTCCAAGAAACACCCAAACCAAGACAAAAGACAACAAGAGATCCAAAAGGAGAAAAATAAGCAGAAATGTGAGGAGAACACGACAGTAACATGGGAAAACACTAAGGGTATTTTTGGATATAGCATATCACAGACAATAAATGCATCTGCGCCATTGAAAACAATTTTGAGTCAGATCACCAATTGTCTTCAACCCGTCAATGGTTTTTAGCATCTCGAGAACCATGAGTAACACATGTTCTAACCATCTCAATCGATGCAACTTCACTTCATGAATCGTTTCCCACCCCCCCTCCTTACCTAACACTCGATGCCTATCCTAAATATTGCCCACCTAAACATAAGAGATAGAACGCAGACACGTATGACTAAAACCAGCTGTTCGTTTCACATCCTCCACTTCCAATGTCATTTCTCCTCATTGCAATAACGGAGAAGGGATTCAACGGTTGGCAGTATACACGTCTTTTGATCGAACACCAGAGGGATATTAGGTCTACATGCCAGAGTTGATACAGGTTGGCAAATTGCACACAAGCCTAATTTATATCAGTGCTGAGATTTCGTCAGCGATTATCATCAGCTCAACTAGGTGGAGTGGTGGCCAACACCCTCCTCCCCCCCCCCCTACCATTACTTCACTCTCATATACCAGACCGTCACAGTAACAAATTGTAGAATAGAATACAACAACAAAAAAAAAAATGAATACATTTCAACAACTTACATGTTAAACCAAGGGTTGTGATAAGAAAAAAGTCAATGTATAAAAATTGAAAATCTGAAATATTGCTGCCAATCTATGAGAAAAAAAAAGAAAAGATAAAAAGTTTTTGAAAAAAAATGATTCAATTTAATAAATCACATGAGAAGAAAAGCAAATTTATAATATTTTAAAAACCCAAAAAATAATTAATCTTTGACTTCGGTTATATTTTTCAATCTTAATGTCATGTATCACACTTAGAACATTCAAATCACACTAACGGATGAATGTTTTGACCTGATTTTCAAAGATTTTCAATTTTTAAAAATAATAACCCAGAGCATTTTAAGTCACATTTTGAAAGGACACGCTAGTTCACAAAGTCCAATGTTACGCAAAGCTTATGTGTAAGCGTTTCATTTTAATACACTGCATTAGTACATCATTTCATAAATATATCCATTTTGAATACAACTGTGAATTCAAGTATTAGTTTGCAAGAAGATGACTGGTTACAGGATTTCACCATGAGTCAACATCGGTTAGGAAGGAAGTACTAGACAGCTGTTTCAACCATCTGGCTTGGGACTCTTCATCAGTACGCACCCACAACCGGGGTTTGAATCCAGGACCTCCTGGTTACAAGACAAGCTCGTAGACCATTCAGACAATGGGACAAGACACAATGACCCGGATCACGAATTCCAAAGTTCACCAATTCATGATGTTAGCGAGACTACTAGCCACTGTCATAACAACCGACCTGCTATATCCTACGGGTCACGCTATACCGTGGATTAGCAGAATTTGGAATTCGTGGGCCATTGGATCGGCTCCTAGTGGCTAAATGGTCTACGAGCTCACCTTGTAACTGGAAGATCCTGGGTTCGAACCCAGTGAGTGCTTACTGATGAAGAGTCCCGAACTAAGATGAAAAAGTTGTCTAGTACTTCCTACTGGTTTTACAATGCTTATCTAACCAACGTCGAAACATGATGAAATCATGTAACATCTATGGATTGTTAGAAAATCCTGCTAGCGAAAATTATGGCTGTGATGCAGAGATGGATTATTCGGCCTAGTGACTCAATTTTCAGTCAGTCGGTCTCAGGTCCAAATCTATCTCTCCATCTATTTCACAACCTAGGCAACTAGGTCATTTCATCAACTCCCACATCTCTTAGTGTGGCTCATAAGCTGTTCCGGAAACTGAGCTCCATTAGTATACCTGTTTTTAAGTCAATTTTGATTTTCCGACTGATTAATTGGGCGGTAATCCTCAGTTTACTCAGTTGACAAGTCAGTTCACTCCTAGGACAGACGCTTTTGACGATGTCTGAAGATTAACTTCAAGTAGTTTGGTGGATGGATGGTGACTGCCAGTGGAACCCCAAACAACAGTAATTCTGTCCCGTTTCAGACTTTCCAGTCAGCTGGATGTACCCCAATTCCTCAGTCAGTGAGTAATAGTGTTCCTCCATTGGGACTCAAACCCAGAACCCATTGTTTCAAACGTCAAAGCGTTATCAAAATTGACATGAAAACAAATGATAACTGGTACCTATCACTAGAGAAGTGGATCTCATTGACCAATTGGCATGTGGTGAGAGCTGGCTGCTAGCCAAATTGGTAGACAGTAATGTACGTCAATGTTTATGTCACAAATATTGGTCTTGTGAAAACACGAAGAAAGACTGACTAAACAAGCAATTACAGCAGACTTTGCGTAGGCGGATACAATTAGCAGATAGATAATCTGACATTCAAGAAACAGCCACCAAAAGAGATGAAAGATTAACTTTCCGTGAGAAACAACCAATCAGAAGATTGTGTCTTTCTGCTAACAATAATCTATAATAATGTGCATGAAAATCTATAAATATGTGTTGATTTCCTTAGTAAACGATCTGTTGCCTGGTCCTTGTTTTCTGTTGTTACAGGCGTAACGCCTTGGCGTTTGAAACGATGGGTACGCTGGATTCGAGCCTTTATGAGAATACCAACACCTACTCTCACTCACTGAGAAATTCAGGTACATCCCAAGTTGAGCAAAAAAACAACTTTCGTCATAATTACGCCATATGAAATCAGAAACCTGGAAACCTCGTACTCCTATGAAGCACAAGGGATGCAGTAGGAAACTAAGTCTGACAAAGTACACATAAATACTTTAGATCAGTGAGATAGATCAAAATTCCAATACACATTTATGTAATTAAGTAGATTGAAAAAGAAATAATTGTTCTTTTCCATTAGCTACGACTGGTGAATAAAGTATAATTCGTCACACACACACGAACACACTTAATTCATCAAAAACAATAATTACAATAATAATAATAATAAATGTGAATCACTTTTGAGTCAATTATTTTTTTCTTAAAAAACCATTCTACGCACATAGATCACATGAAAAATATGAGTTAAATTTGTCAAAGCAGAGAAATGAAGACTTCAGCAAAACTGACGACGACAACAACAACAACAAGAGTGAAAAGTTACAAATTGGATCTATATAGTCACAATTGTTATCGTTTTCATTTTACACGATGGAATGAAGACAAGAATGATAATGCAAACATTGTTTTAAGAAATGTATTCACTGCTATTACTACTAATACCAAACCCTTCTACTGTTTGTCATTTTTATTATTCAGTGACAGTGAATAGTTCTCGTTTTTAGTTGATTGACTTTTAGATTTTTTTTAGTAAAATCTACAGAAATATTTGCGACCAATTGAAACCTCAAGCATCAACGGAATGAGTCCTCACCAGTGACCTTGAATGAACCAATGAGTTTCTTCACGTGAATTCCAGCTTCCATTTCGCTTGATTCAATTTACGTCTGAAACTTGGTGTAGATTAAGTTCTCCAGTGCTGTGCTTAGATGTGGAATTGATCGGAAAGGAAAGAATTCGTTCCTTTGCAGGTATCGTCAGTATAAAAATCCGCAGAATACCAGTTGATGGACATGTTCACCATTGTGAAATTTGTTTGAGACAAGTTAATATGA